AAACCCATCACTCTGAGATTATTCAAGCTTGATTACATGTGACCTTACATATTCACTTAACAACCAACTTACATCACTTAAGAGTCCCACAAAGCACAAAGCAAGCATCATTCGAGAAGCGGAGTTGATTGACACTAAAACACAATAAAATCAAGCGGATTCTCAGACGAAATTCTAGATATCCAAATCCCGGCACCTCAGATACACCTTCTACCTGCCCTCACTCTCTCAAGAGTGGCTAATCATTCCTCGCGTTGACCCGCTGCACACTGCACCCACTCATGAAACTTCCACCAACGCTGCAACCACTCGTGTATGCTAATCATATATAACGTTGGATCCTATAAACAGTCGAATATTTGATCGTACCCTAAGCCCTTCACCAAACAAGAACAGGAAATAAGGCCAAACCAAACATTCTCGGGTCATAAAATCTTAGTTATGTATAACTATGATGAATACACTAAGCAACTACAGTAATGATGTCAATTTCATATAAGGAAGAATCCCAGGCTATCAGGCATCATATAATCAGACAATTCTATCATGCAGTTCCTAAAGATCCCTAGCCTATCACTACCATGTTGTTCTAACATATCATAATATTAATAACAGCGTGGTAATTTGGGGTCTACTTATTAGTTCCAGCTGATCGTACACATCGCATCCTCCTTGTTTATTTTGAATACCATTTGAAAATCGTTTTTTGAAAAAAAATATTTTTCTTTAGTTTGAGACTGGATTCACATGAATGCTCCTTGAATTCACTCAAATCAAGGCTCTGATACCAACTTGTAACATCTTAAAAATTTCAACAAATTTAAACCTTCCAAAAATGAACCATTTATTAATAAAAGTATTTACAAAATATTATTTCCAAAACTTTAATCAAAATTAGAGTCTTCCAGGATCCAATCAGTTCTAAACCAAGGATGTGTACAGTCATGCCTTCGCCTTTCCACGGTCTACTTAAGTACCTGAGACCATAAACCAAAACTGTAAGCACGAAGCTTAGTGGGTCCCCCCAAAATACCAACACACGAATAAATAACATATTCAAAATAACAGCATACTATGGGTCCAATCAACCATCGGGTTGGAATACCCTCGGCCCTCAACCATCGGGTTGGAATGCCAACATACTATGGGTCCAATCAATCATCGGGTTGGAATACCCTCGGCCCTCAACCATCGGGTTGGAATACCCCAGGCCCCTCAACCATCGAGTTGGAATGCCAACATACTATGAGTCCAATCAACCATCGGGTTGGAATACCCCAGGCCCCTCAACCATCGGGTTGGAATGCCAACATACTATGGGTATAATCACCCTCGAGATGGAATACCCTAGGCCCTCAACCATCGGGTTGGAATGCCCCGGTCTGTTGGCTTACGCACAAAGCAGTGAAGCGTCAGCCACCGACCATACATGTGCACATATAACAGATAATCATATAAAAGTCTACAACCAGTCAAACATATATACAAATCACTAAGTATAACAACATCCTATCTACCAGGATACCGATCTAACAGATCATAACAACATAACAACATCCTATCTACCAGGATACCGATCTAACTGATCATAACAGTACAATAGCATGCATAACAGGATATCAATCCAATGGGTAGGCATTGGTGCCTTCGACCCGCAAGTACAGTGAGGAAGACTCACCTCGCACTGCCGAATCTCATGGAAAGAATCACTAGCTGCTGGCTCGCAAGAATCCCAGTGCTCTCAATCACAAGTTAAACATCCATCAATAATCGGATCTGACCCACACTAAGTGTCCAAACTAGGGTAAAAGACCTTTTTACCCTCTTTATAACTTGCCCCCAAATCCAAGGCCCAAATCAACAATACAAAAGGCCTAAACATGGCCCAAAACATCCCAAGGTCAACCATGATCAAACTTCTGATCAAAGTCAAAGTCAACAACCCATGTTGACCAAACACGGCGTGTTGCCCCTTGGACACGCCGTGTTCTTCAATCATCCAGATAATCGGGAAAACCCCAACTAACACGCCGTGTTTGCCTGGGATTTAACCACTTAATACAATAAGCTGTTTTCTCCGATACCAAGAGCTCCAAAGCTCAGATCTATCCTCTCATGTGGTCCAGAAGGATAAACTTTCCAACTTTATCCATTGAGACTACCCAAAAAGGGTCAAGATTCCATCCTTAAGCTTAATAGTGCAAGGGCTTGACCAATAAGCACTTAATCCATAAAGACTTAGCCCCAAAACATAGATCTGACTTCCTTGAGCTGGAAAACCACGTAAAGTTGCCAACTTTACGTTCATGCATGTCTAAATGAAGATCTTAAGCTTAAAAGGACTTAATAATTGACTTAATGCATGCATAACACCAAAACTCTCATAAATCTTGCACCTTTATGCTCAAGGATACCAGAACAAACTCAGATCTGAAAGAACAAGCACTTAAACGACCTAACTCATCCATTAACCCAAAAGGGACCAAATGCACAACAAACTAACTATGAAGAGATCTAAACATGTACAAGACAAGATGCAAACTTGATACCTTAGAAAACTTCCCCACATGATGATGATTTTGGATCCAAAACCTCTTCCCCAAGCAAAGCAACTTGAAGATCTCCTCTTCCTTTGCAAAGACCAAAAATGAGCACCAAGAACTCCTTACTAGCTCAAGAACACCACCAAGAGACTTAAAGATCGATTTTAGGATTTTAGTGACAATGAAGGCTGGTAAAGAGGCGAGCCATAAGGACTTAAGGCCTTTATATAGGGTACAACACCCTAAAATTAGGGTTTTCTCCACCAGCCGCCAACACGCCGTGTTGACCTTAAAGAAAGCCACGTTTATTGTCAATCTATTTTTTTTCTGGTTAAAATGATTTTAAATAATAAAATATGATTAAAAAATGTTTTAAAAAAAGATTTGGATAAATATGATATTTTGACAGTTTAAGAAAGATATATATGATATTTAAAGATTAGGTCGGGCAAAGTTGATATTTTGTTGTTTATTAGGGGTATACACAAAATTCTCCATATAATTAATATATATTCGATGCATATATGCCACAAAATAACAATACAAAGGAACCGCTGGTCTGAAACTAGGATACTATGTTACACCACCTTTTATTTGCTACAAGAAACTTATATTGTTTCATGTTAATCAAAGTTTTTTTTTTCTGAATCCCAAGAGAATTATCTTTCTAAAACATGTTTTAATCGTTAATGGTGGCGGTTGTAGGGATAAACAAGAAGTTATAGTTTAAATACTTAGAACATCTTCAATATGAGGGGTTTATTTATTTATTTGTTTATTTATAACTTATTATTATTTTGTTGAGTGGTTAAAATAACTTAACACAATTGGAGAAAATGACTTTTTTTGCTAATTTTATTGACCACTCATATAGTTTAATATTTTGAACACTCAATCCTTTTTATTCAATAATATTTCATTTTATCCTCTTGATTTGGTTTTAAATATTTTTATTTATCTAAATTTTATAGATAAACAAATATACAAATATATAAACACATACTATAGTAATATGTGAATCGTTTTGCGTGAGTGAATGTTTATATTGAAATATGATGTGTTTAAAAGACGCTTAGTTAAACGAGAAAGTTTAATATATATAACATTTTAGATACATAATGATAAAATATTTCTATTAATAAAAAAAAGTAGTAAAAGAGTTTAACCGTTGTAAAAACAATTTAATTAGAAGTCAATATTAGTGAAATAATAAGGTGGCGATATCTTATATTGAAATACAGTATGTTTAAAAAACGATTAGTTAAACGAGAAAATTTTATATAATATTTTAGATTGATAAGGATAAATATTTAAATTAATAAAAAAAAATCATAAAAAAGTTTAACCATTAGAAAAACAATTTAATTAGAGACAATTTAATTAGAGATCAATATTAATAAAATAATAAAGCCATATCTATCTAAAATATAGTATTAGCATTGAATATGCTTTTAGAATTCATTTCTTTTATTATAAAGTATATATAGGTTTAGGCGTTTAGCATTGAATATGCTTTTAGAATTCTTTTCTTTTATTATAAAGTCATTAGTTTATACTTTATACATAGAAACAAGTTTGACTTATCTACATACATACACAAGGGGTATATACCCTTTAACATACTTTAACTGCATAACTAACTTTCAGGAGAATAACTAACATAACTGCTAACGAATCTTAGCCCTTGTAACTTCCTTATACTTCAACAGCCATTGTTTTTGTCATCCTACAATTGTGTCAATGGGTGTTACAAGACCTTCCATTCAAGGGGGCTGACTTTTATAAGAAGCTAATTGATTAAAGCTTTATGGGAGGTGGAGAAGTGTCTTGCGGCTGCGATCATGGTTGCCTCTGGCCCAAAAGAAGACTTAACTACAGCTCCTAACCCCTTTGCAGTTTTACCTTCATCTGATTTGAAAGAAAAACAGTTGAACATCGATGAAAACCAATTTAGGTTCTTCTTCTCATTGCTACCCATCTCAATTCTCACGAGAAGAGGATAATGTTTTTCTTTGATTTCTTAATTAACTTATAAGTATGTATGTGATTGAAACAAGAAGCTGTGTGTTTGTTTATATACATACATATGATGTCTTGGTCATCAAGGTTGATTGATCAAAGGAAAAATCCCAGAAAATTCTATTTTCTTGAAGTGAATCTTGACCATTGACCAGTCTTCACTTTTTTTCCTCTTGTGCAAGCAACCAACAGTGGACGCGGGTGTATGCATAGTTTCATCATCAAATTATTATCCATTTTGAAATAATTATCATTATTCTAATAAACAAATATATGTGTGAAACTGCGTTAGGAAAATTTTTATCACTAAATATCTTGAAACCAATAGAAATTGTCAAAGCTTTAATAACACGTCAGATATATACCAGAAGGCTAGCTACAATGTTTGAATATAACCCAAATAAGAATAAAGAATCGAATGAGAAAAGAATTAGAGGACTAAATGATGGGTGCTGCAGCGGCGTCGTTTTGTCCGTCAACATCTCTCTCCAAACATGCAATTGCAAAGCACAACTTCTCATCTCTTCGAAACGACCAAACCTGAATCTTTTTGTTTATCTCCAAATCCTTTTCATTCGCCATCACAAAGTGGTTCCAGTTGGTTTTGAGGACGTAGTTGCTGGTGCTGTTCATATGCCACATCTTCAACATCATCGGCTTCTTATGCATCTCTAATCTTGGCCCCCACAATTTCACCTCAAACTCCTTTCCATTCTCCAAATCTTGTTTCTCATTTTTCCTCAAGAACTCATCCGGTTTGATCACTTGTTTCATCGGCATACTCAACCTGTTCTAGTTTTCCTCCAGATCACTTTTGTACAATGTTTTCTGGATCACCACCTTCGCTTCTGTCCCCTTCAGCTCATTCGTAATGAACTCTTCCAACTCCTGGGTTATCTTGTTCCTCACAATCTCCACCTTTTTGTTCTTCTCTACTGTTGGAGTACTTTTGAACCTTTTTCTTTCTTCAACTGGTTTCTTAGGTAAGACATCAATCAACAACTTCATCTTTTCCTCAACCAATTTAACGATCTTATGTAGATAATATATATCTTGAGACTCCTCTTGTCCCATAGCAGCCTGCAAATGAACACGCTTGCAGTAGCGCCTAGCTCCTGTTGTATCTTGTGCCATCATCTTCCTTTGTTTTTCAGTCAAAAGATCTAAATTTTGAATGAAACAAGAAACTGAATACGTATTAGCCCTTGTGTTTACGTGCTTATTTATAGATATGGGGAAGTAGTGTTAGTTGTTGGATTAATTACACAACAAATAACCTAATACAAATAGCAACTTTAGTTAAATAGTTAATTAAGGAAACTATATATATAGTTAATTTTATAAGGAAAGTAATATTTTTTAATTTGGCAATTGCTACCCTAATAACGGTTATATGCTCAAAGAAAGGAAGGTTTGCTTATTTTCTTTCATACCAATCTACTACCCGTAATCTAATTATGTGGATTCGGTACTCATAATAATCAAGGCTCTATTTATATGGAGTGTGTATTTCTTTTTTTAGTTAATTAAGAATATTTTATTTGCCTTATCATATAGTTAAATGAAATATTTGAATATTTTTATAAAATGCTATCAAAGCCTATCATATTCCCATTGTTTTATATGGTTTATTTTGACTTTTTATTTATTAAGTAGTGTTTTGTAGAATGTTTTGATTTAAGTTTTATAAATTTTATCTGGATTTGTTTGATTCAAAATTAAATTCACCCTTCTAAAAATACCAACCTTAAATAAAATGTATTAGTTGAAAAATAGACAGAACTCAAAAAATAACAATTAAATGTATTAATACATGCCTTGTTATGGACCGGGGACTAGTTATAACTAAAGTTACAATTTATTGAAAAAAATAAAGTTACAATTAAGAAAATAATAAACTTGAATTAGAAGCATCAGCAGGCATTGTCACTTCTATTTCAAAATCTACCCTAATCTAATGTCTTGGATGAGGTAAAAGAAAATGTTCTGTTTTACTTCAAAAAAATCAATATTTTCATCTTAAATCAATGTGGTTTCCACATATGGTACGAACCCATTGAAAAATCCAAAATCAATAAATAATAATAATAATAATAATAGTAATAATAATAATAAAAGTTGATCTACTTCAAGTCGCCGGAAACTTTAACCCTATTTCTCGCCATCTTCAAATTTTATGTTTATAAAGAATGTATTTGATTATAGCGAATCAAATTTTTTAGCTTAAGCGGAAAACTTAAAAGATTTAGGGTTAATAGACATCATATTTTTGAAATCTGATATCAAAATTCAATTGTTAAATCCATAGACAACCTCCGATAATCAAGTATCCAATCAGATAACAGTAATGCATGCCATCTTCTTCTCTATCTATTAGGCTGCAGGTCTGGGACCGCGGTTCACACCACGTCAACCGAGAACACCGTCCCCAGGCCGCGGTCTGGTGCGGTCTCGGCCGCACCGCGGCTAGAAAATACTGCGAGCTGTGATTGGTCCTTGGGTTTTGACTACCGTTGAATCGGTCTTTGTGGTATTAAATTTTTTTTTTTTTTTTTTAAACTTTACTACACACACACACACACACACACATATATATATATATATATATATATATATATATATATATATATATATATATATATATTACCATTTTACACAACATTTTTACACATATCTCTACTCCGTTAACCATATCTCTACTCCTTTTCTCTATTTTTTTTTTTTTTGAAAAATGTCATCTTACAAACAACCCAACAAAGAAAAAACACCAGTCAGAAACACCAACACCCCAATACCTTCATTTGATCAACCGATTTTCTCACTTTCGTATTACCACTACGGCGGTATGTTTCCGTATTTTCCACAACGACCAACGCAACCACTACCACAAACACCACCACTACCACAACCCGACCCGGATTTTAATCCATTTGATTTTTTGTCTCAACCCGAGTTTGTTCAACAAACACAAACACAACCAGAAACGGTCGTTTCTGATTCTGAACCGGAATTCGTTACAGAAACTCAGCCCACTCGAGCAGCAACTAAAAGAAAAGAGAAGGCGGAGGCTAGATGTTGGGAACCTTTGGAAGCGTTAGTGTTGGCACAATCTTGGATCGATATTTCAGAAGATGCGACGGTTGGAAAAGACCAAAAGCATGATCGCTTTTGGATTCGCGTTTTACACAGGTTCCATAAAGGAATGAACCGTGGAGAATACCGTTCAAAACATCAAGTGTACTCAAAATGGGGGAAGATGAACAAGGAAGTCATGTTGTTTAATGACTTGTGGAACAACATGAAACGTCAATGGAAAAGTGGAGAAAGCGATGAAGTGATTTTGAAGAAAGCGTTGAAAGTGTATCAAAAAGAAAATCTGAAGGCTTTCAAGTTTCTTGAAGTTTGGAATTTTTTGAAAGATAACAGGAAATGACTGAGTAGCAAAAAATCATACGAGCATATCGATAGTGGGTCAAAACGCAGCAGAACATCTGAGTCCGACCACACTACATCAGATGCTCGTGTTCAATTTGATCTGAACGAAGATGAACATGTTCCAGTTTCACCACCTTCCCGACCAATGGGAAGAGACAAATCAAAAAGCAAAGACAAAGGCAAAGCGTTGGATTCAGATGATTTGAAAGAAATGGGAGCCGACATGAAGGGTATAAAAGACAGAATGGACAAGATTTTGCAAATTGCTTCTGAAAGAGAGTTTCAGAAACAAAGGGAGAGCGACATGCGAATACTAGCGACGGACACGACGAATATGACCGGGGCCGAGCTTGAATTGGTTTTGGCGATGAAGGAGGAAGTGAAAAAACGTTACGTCAATCGTGACTAATTTCTAGTTTTTTTTTCAAGTTTTTAATCGTTTGGTGTGTGTGTGTGTGTTTTTTTTAAGTTGTAGGTTTTATGTTTCTAATTTGTTTTTCTAAATTTTTAGGTTTTTTTTTAAGTTAAGTAATGTATGGTATTTGAAATTTTAATTAATGAAATATTATCTTTTTAAAATTATGTTTTTTATTAAAAAAATAAGTTTTATTAAATTAAAATAGTTAATAAAAAAACAAAAAATAAAATAAATAAATAAAAGTGTGGCACCACTCCCTTGGTGTGGCAAGAAACCACACTTGAGTGGTAAAAAATGACATGACGCTTATGTGGCGGGGGAGGGAGTGCGGTTTCGGTGGCACCACTCCCTCCGGCCTTAATCTAATATAAAAAAGTTGAATGAAAGAACATAAGTAAACTAAAAACTCTCTATACGTATAAAAGAGCAAAGAACAGCTGGTTGTCTTTACGAAAAGACCACACCTGAATCTCTAAATGTGGCTTCAAATCCTTCTTGTTTTCCTTCCACAAACTCATTCCAATTAGTCTTCAACACATAACTGCTTGTGCTTTTCAATCTCCACATCTTCATCATCATCGGTTTCTCATGCTTCTTCAATCTTGGCCCCAACAATCCCACCTCAAACTCCTTTCCATTCTCCAAATCTTCTTTCTCGTTTTCTGTCAAGAACTCAATATTTTTCTCTAGTTGATTCATTGGCATACTCAACCTGTTCTGGTTTTTTCTCAGATCACTTTCATACAGTATTTTCTTGAGCACGAGTTTCAAATCTTTGCCATTCATCCCATTCGTGATGAACTCTTCCAACATCTGCTTGCTGATCACCATCGGCTTACTGTTTTTCATCTCAATGGGAGGTTTGAGCTTTGATTCTTCTTTAGCGGCGACGCTTTTTGCGGTGACCCCGAACCAATTGCGGCGACAAGTTGGAGGGAAAAACACGTTCCATTCTCTGGATCCTGGTAGCCGTCTGATCTAAAAACAATTCAAGGGTCACGATGAAATGCACACGGATCGCTATCAATAGCGGTGACTCGTCGTTGCTATTGGTGTCGCCACTATTGCGTCCCACCAAATGAAATCCTAGCCGATGGATCACTATAGCAGCCTACGGTCAGGATTAAATGGCGTGTGACACAACAGGATCGCCGGTGGAAGACCTTTAGAGACGACAACTGTAGTGACGACAGAGACCATTAGCGACGACTTTGTCTAGTGTCGCCGCTAAAGCCAGTAGTCGTCGCTAAAGCTGTTGTCCCTAAATGTGTTATTTCTTGTAGTGTATTTTCAGGCAATCTCAATGGCTTCTTTATTTATTTATATTAAAAAAATATTGTTTAGAGCCAATGATACAACATCATATCTATTTTTTTTTAAATAAACGCTTGTACCATAACACATATATCTATTTAGCAAACTATGGTATAAACGGCTTCTACCGAAAAACTTTTATGCCTCCATAAAATATTAAAATACTATAGGGATGAATGATTTCTAACTATTTTCATAATTCATTCAATCATAAAAATAAATAGGATCACTTGTAACATGATAACATAAAACATTCAAGTGCAAACAAAATTCACTATAAATTTACGTCCCAATGACAGTAAAAGAAAAGCTTTAATGTGGCACTAGAAACAACAAAAGCGAATGTACAAGGTTGTAAGGAGTGGTGCTATAGAAACCACACTTCTTCTTATACATCATAGACACCAACTCAATTTTATCACTTTGAAACCGTATAGTGAAAGTGAGAAAAATGTAAGGAGAGAGAAAAAGAAGAAGCAAATAAATAAGGAGAGAGAGAGAGAGAGAGAGAGAGAGAGAGAGAGAGAGAGAGAGAGAGAGCCAAAGTTTACTACACTACAACTGGACCGCATCCCAGACTGCACAAATGAACGGTGTTCCGTGATGAAGCTACACCCAAGACTACACGTCACTTCCTTAAGCCTAAAGAACATTTGAAAGCTTAAAATCTCTTTTGGGCATAATTCGATTCTTTACGTTATGCATAGGGACTTGATTAAAAATACAATATACATTTGTATTATATTAAAAAATATAATACAGAAAATTGAAGATATTACAAGTTCTTGATACTGGTTTTTAAAATTAACTCCTATCGAAATCCACCACCATTTTTTACTGTGTCTTATGGATAACAATATGATACACTAGGTTATAACCCATATAATACACGGTTGGCAAAGTAAAATAAAATAGATTAAAAACGTAATTATTAATAATATATTTGCAAACAGTTATTTATATACAAATTTTTATGTTTTATATATAATTGTATTATAATTATTATAAATTAATCTGTAAAACAAATTTTTATGTTTTATATATAATTGTATTATAATTATTATAAATTAATCTGTAAAGCGGCCAGAAACTTGGTTTCTATTAACATACAAACACATAGACATGTTCCACACTTTTTAAAACTGGTTACTATATTTTTAATACTCTTTCTTCTGAAAAAAAAATGAAACTTTACTGTTTGAAACAAAAAAATGAAACTTTGTTGTTATTTTTCCGTACTTTTCAAACCTGGTTGCTATTTTCTTCAATACTCTTTCTCCTAAAATAATTAAAAAAATCATTCCCACTAGCGTAAAAAAATGTAACATTTTTTTTAGAGCGATAGAAAAGAAAAATTGAAACTTTGTTGCTATTTTTTCTTTGTACTTTTGAAACTTGATTGCTATTTTTTTTCGAGAATATTTCTTTTTTTGTTTTTGCTTTTAGTTCAACAACACATTGAAAATTTCTCTTTATCTGTTGATACATGCTCCTGATGACTTACAACCTGATCCTATAGTTCATTTTAGTTGCTCCTATTGGTCAATAAATTACTCTTTGTGGTTTCTCAAAGTTGCTTGTCTAAAAGACCATCCCTTGATCATAATTTAATCTTATATTCCTTTGATTTGAACTTAAATTTTCGAAGTAGCCGTGCAAAAACCTCAAATACATGTTCTCAAACTACATTGCCATTTTTTCCCTAGATCATCTGATGTTGTTCAAAGTAGGACCTCCTACTTGTGCACACTAACATGTTCGTGATATTCGTTTTGCTTTGCTCTTTGTCAACACTTTCTTTTGGTTTCCATTACATAAAACACATATATTGTATTAAATGTGCCATAAAACACATATATTTGGATTAGATAAAAAGAAAAATAAACATAAACATCAAAGATTGCATTTCAAGGATTTAGCATGAGTAGGATAATTTTTACCATTTTCACTCAACTTAGCCATATAGTTTAAAATTCATGTCGAAAATAGGCATTTTGAAACATCGAGTGATCTTAAAATAAGAACTAAACAACTATCATCATTTTCCTAAAAAAAATGTTGTAAAAGTTGATGAACAGAGAAATCAACCACATTCAGTCCACGAGGACATTCATTGAAAGGTTTTTTGCATTTTCACTTTATGTTATTTGCATCAACCCATGTTAAACATACTTTAATAAAAACAAAATAAATAAAACGTCAAGATTAATAGTTTTTTTATATAATAATAATAAACATAAGAATTTATATACTCATATTAAAAAATTAATGAACGATAAACATTTACCCCTATATAATTTCCCATATAAAAGAAGTATATATACCTAAGTCCTTCCTTGAACTTTTGATCAACAATCAACATTTTTCTGATGTCTAAATGCAAATAAGATTCAATTCAAATGATCATAACAACTAAAAAAATACAACGAACCTATACCCACGTCTAAATAAGTCTATACAACTCCACCAAATGGAAAATGTGTGAAAATATGTTTGATCCAGACATGGATATGTATAGAAAGTAGGTACCTGATAGGAACTTCAACAACATATAACTCTAATGGAAATAGAACCATCTAGATGCCGCTTGTTAAACTCTGGAACTCAAAATCACACTAAATGTTTTGCTTTTGTGAGCATATGATACCAATATGTCAGTCCCACTTCCACCCTTCAAAACTCCCAAAGATTTCAAATTTTAGAACACACCCATTAGTAAATTGATCAAAAGAGCAAGAAAATCATACATCTACACATGGCTGATATATAGCCATTGTCAATTAACCCAATAAGAGACTGTTTATGAGTGCATGGTTGTTAGAAGATCATAAAGCATAATAAGAAAATGAAAGTGGGGAGTATAAAAGAAGACAATATTAATATATGAAACATAAGCATGAGCTGCCATTGTAGTTACAAAGAGAAAGTAGAAGAGTCGGTTTAAATGGGGCTCATATATTTAATATTCATAAGAACAAAAGCAAAGTAATTTACCCAAATTAAATCGATTCAATATTTGGCTTCTTTTATGAAAGACCCACACTTTCATATTTCTGAAAGACCCAAACTTTCTTACTTGACAATTGTTACTCCAAAACATGCTACTTGCATATTCATAAAAAACAATATTTTACATTAATAACTTGTTTACATAAGACTGGATACAAACCGACTATTACAAATTTTTATATGTACATAACTTCCCAGGATACTATAAGTTATACATACACGAGTACAAAATACAATAGTTTAAAACTATTCAAAATCTTCCAACAGTATACAATTATACAAGTTACTTATCTCCTGCAATTTGTTAAACATTGAGAGGGGTAAGCGGTGACGCTTAGTGAGTTCAATAATAGATACAATATAACGTTATGCCATATATATACTTCAATATGGCAGAAGCAAAGAGGAACAAGAAACAAAAAATGCATATGTGAATCATGTGAAAAACTTTCCGTATCAATCAATGATTTGATTCAAAGATATACGATCAATGAGACATGACAATTTCTATACTTGATATACATCAATAAAACTTCGACCCAAATGGCACAGAAGACATACACTTTCTAATTTAAACATTTTGGTAGATTTCAGGCTGAAAGCTCTGTCTAACCTTCCGCCAATACCATAGAATAGAAGTCATTCTCTTACGAGACATGCTCTACATGGTCAGAGGCTACATACCAGTACCACCGTGAATCTAAGTCCTTTCACTGATCACATGGTCAAAGGTATAATTTTGATATCATAAATAGCGGAAATAATAACAATGGAAAAGCACATAGCACATATAACACATAACATATAATTGTTCATATATATTGAACTCACTGTGAATTAACCGGGGGTTAAAATAGTAATTTGGGCAGCACTTCGTTACTATAATTGACGTTCTTCAATGAAAACTTGGAGTTTTCTTGAAAACCGGGCCCTGCGAGGGTTGGGCTTCAAACCGAAAAGATAAATTTCTCGGGCTTCTCGGGCACTTCGGGGCGTGTTCCGAGTGTTAAAAATGATACCGGGGCTTCGGGGGAAGTGGAAATAGTTAAAATATGAGTTTAAGGGTGAAAAGTGACAATTTTCCAACATTTACCCGGGAGGTCTCGCACCCTTATATAGGTGTGAGCCTCGGATCCGAAGCGAGAGGAAAAGGGGGGCAGGTGGCGCGAGGCTCGGACACGCGACAGCAGATGCGAGGCTCGGATGCGAGAAGGGCACGCGTCGGACCGGAAGCAGCACACGTGTCAGATGGTCTTCGGCTGAGTTATCGACGTCGGACACGGGGCGCGCCTGGAGCGGGTGACGTGGCTCCCATCGGATACGTGTCGCGCGAGGAGCGAGGGTGACGTGGCCGAACTCAGGCCATGCGATTTTTCTCGGATTTCGCAATTATTCTCGATTTTTGTGCCAAAAACTTCTAAAATCCATAACTTTCGTATACAGAGCTCTGCTTTTGACGTTCTTTATATGCACTGATAGGGAAAATTATGCTCTACAACTTTCGTTTAGACTTCGTCGGCTAATTT